CTTTTGGAAGTAACATGCAGTGGACATGGTTTTGACTTCTCCAATGACTTAACAGCATCTTTAGTAATTCTGCAGTCCAACTTTGATTTGTTTCGAGGTAAAGCAGCATTAACCTGAAATAATAACCCAAAATTACCCCTCAAAACTACATTGAAAATATAGAAAAAGTCTGAGCTCAAGCAAGAAGTCAATCCATATGCTACTCAGCAGAAGTAAAAACATACATCATAACTTAATTGATCAAATCCAACTAATTATGTCCTTTTTCCAGAAGATAAGCCATGAGAATGTTACAGTACTCCCACTTTCTTCCTACCTGCATAATTCTAATGTGTTTTGTGTACTTTTTTATGTCCCCTGCTATTCAGTGGGACTGACAACCAAAAGGCTTTCTATATAAGAATCAACAAAGTCATTGATGACCTTAGTAGTCTATAAGATGACACCTTTAACTATGAAAACCGATTGACATTTAGCTCTCCACTAGTAAGATTAATACCAGAGCTAGATCCCCATTTAAATTAAAATTTTCAGATAGAGATAATTCCTGTTCCATGGCATACTTATAAAAGATGGGGATGTTCTACAGATGAGAGAAGTACATAGAGAACAGCTAATACCTTAGCCTTTAATACAGGAGGAGTGTGTTTCTTTGGCTTGTCAGCATCATTCTTGACAGGGTCAGAGACAAGGCTATCATGCTGGGCAGCTCTGGAGCTACTAGTGATTGATGGAGTGGGTGATAAGGAAGCATCAATTCTAGCTTCTTCTGGTTCAACATTAGATAAAGTATTATTGGCTTCATCTGCCATGATAACCTTATCTGTATTGTCATTACAGTCATTCAAAGGTTGTTGCTTAGCTTGTCTCGGTTTATCCACTATGGTTCCCAATGACAAATCTGAATTAGCAACTGTATCATTTCCGCATGTTTCCTGTTTGGACAAGTCATGACAATTCTCATATTCCAGTTGCGTGGTGTTAATCCTCACATCCGGACAAGGATCAGGTTGGGTGGTTTCTTGGTGCTGCACTTGCAATGCCTTACGACCTCTAACTCTTTTGTAATAGTCTTCAAAGTAGGCCTTCTTTTGGGCAACCAATCCATTGGACTTGTACATTTCAAGCTCCTCCTGACACCTGTTGTGCCGAAAAACAGACCATTTTTCCCATGCCAGTGATTCTACAGCAAATCGTCCAAATGATATCGAACCATGATCCAAAATTTGAGAGATAGATACGTCCTGATTTTATATGAAAATAACAAAAATCATATAGCAGCAAACTTCAATGATTAAAGCACATAAATCACATCTACAAGAGTCAAGACAATTTCTACAATACCAACAACCCTTTCATCATTAGAATTTCAATTTTAGAGTTCATAAATCACGCACTAAACTTAGAATTCCAATTTCTCAGTAACCAATCTGAGAATTCAGGAAGTGAAAGCAAGAACTTCACAGACTTAGTACCTGGGAGTGTTGACTGTCTGAAGCTATATCAGGCTGATGAAATTCAGTGTAAGTCGCCATTTCCAAATTCCAATTACTCTCTCTACAGTTACTTACTATTTCTGTAAGTAGATCAAATTCTCCATTACCAAACTCCTACAAAAACAAAAAGAACAAAATTATCAACCAAGTAAATTTTCCTTTCCTTTCTCTAGTTTTCTCAGCACCCAAACAGGAAAAATCAAGCATATGATAATCAACAGTAACCGTCTACTTACCAACAAGTTCAAGCAAAGAAGCTTCCAGATCTGAGATTCAGAGAGCCACTTCGAACCTACAACGCACCGTCTTAAGTACTCTGTCCTTTGCTTGCGAGTTGTGGCAGTGAGAGAAGTTACGAACAAGGAAGAAGAAAAATGGCTAGTATTTCTTCAAGTCGATGCACCATAGAAAGAGACAGAAAGCAACTAACGCCCCTTTGTACGACGTGGCTTCTCTGCGATGCGTCACAGTGGCTCTTTCTGCATCTGGGTCCTACATTCTCCACGTGTACACCAAACTAGTGCTGTTGAGCATTTTAGGACCTGGTTGTGCCTTTAATTACAGAGAAGCCGCGGTGGGTTTTGGTTTATGCAGGTTTAGATGGAATCTAATTGGTTAAAAAATTGGTTTATTTGCAGTTTTTCTAAAGGCGAGGAAGTCTGTGGACCCATGTGGGCCACGTGGCAGGAGTAGGTTAATTAATAGGGAGTTTCACTAAAACACCCAAAATGGAGGTTGAAATTATAAAAAAACCCAACACCCAAAACACTTTATAAACACACCCAAAAAGTTAACTTTGGGGTTGATTTTGGGTGTGTTTCTATGTTTAAATAGTGCTTGGGTTTTTTTATAAATACATGTCTAGAATTGGGTTTATTTATAAATTTGTATAATTAATATGGGGCTGGCATGAGGTCCACGTGATACAAGCATGGGTCTGCAATGTGTTATGAGACAATGAGGAGATTAGGAGAATATGATTGCTTTAAGATTTTGTTCGTGTGGAAATCTAACATTGCTTTTATTCATGATGGGGTCCTAAAAAGAGAATTATAATACCTCTTACAACTTTTTCCAGATTGGCCCGTTTGGCTCCCAACCGGTAAATTGTACTTTGTTTATTGGAAGGGTATTTTAGATACTAACCTACATGGAGCTAGTTTCTCACCCGATTTAAATGTTGAATTACGCGAGGCGCAAGTTATTTCAAGTTCATTAAATCTATTAATTTTCTGGCCTATTCATGAATGGCCCCTCCCTTACTACCAAAATTCAGAATATGATGAAAACAGCCACAATAAGTTGCCAAATTATGATTATAATCCAAATTATTACTCTAATAATAATAAAAATGACCACAAGCCGGACTATGACATCGATAGGCCTAAAGGTGGCTTCGTTGGGTGTTTCAAGAATCAAAATCATTACAATGGCTACAAAGAGCCAATTTATACTTCTAATGGTCAAAATGATGACAAAAAGCCAACATATAAAGAACCAAAATATCTTCATAATTGGTGGGATATATCCAAGTTAAGATAAGCTCTTTCAGAGGATTTAGTTCAACAAATTGTGAGTATTCCTGTGGGTGTTCATGGGTCTTTATTTGATACTCAAATTTGGCACGCTTCTTCTAATGGTGTTTTCTCTGTTAAGGCTGCTTATAAGTTGTTCTTTGTTGGTCCTTCTTGGCCTGAGTCTAGTTGGGTTTTCCTTTGGAAGCTGAAAATTCCTCTCAAGTTGCAAATCTTTTTTTAGTTTGCGTCCCAAAGTAAAATCTTGTCCAATGAGTATAGAGTGAGGCGTCAGCTATTGATTTTTCTTGTGGGTTATGTGATTGGCCTGTGGAATTCGTGTTGCATATTTTCCGTGACTATGAAAGGGCTCAAAGTGTTTGACATGCTCTTTTTATTCCTGGATTTGCTCCCCTTTTTTTAAAGCAGGATTTCATAGATTGGCTTAAAGTTAATTTGCTTTCTAAAGCTAAATGGGGTGGTGGTCTGCCTTGGTCAGTTGCATTTGTTTTTACTTGTTGGTACCTGTGGAAATGGAGGGATAATCATATTTTTCTACCTCTTGATGAGTTTGTTGATGACCCTGTTAAGACTATCTCAATGGCTGTGAAAGATTGCGTCAAGGCTTCTCAGGAGGGTGTTAAGGTGAATCCTAAAGCTCAGCTTTTACTCAGTTAGGAGCCTCCTGGTTTAGGTATGTTTAAACTGAATCTGGATGGTTCTAAGAGAGCAGCCTCAGGTTGTATTCGTGCTGGCGGAGTGATCCGTGGGGCTAATGGCAATTGGATCTGTGGTTTTGCTGTGAATTTAGGCAAGGGGCAGATCCTTGAGGCTAAGCTTTGGGGCTTGTTTTTTGGGTTTCATTTGGCTTGTGATAAAGGTATCTCTAATCTTCTTAATTATTGAGATGGATGATGCAGTTGTTGTTTCCCTTGTTCAGCAAGTTGGTACCTTGAGTTGTCATCCTCTTGCTGCGTTAATTCAGAGTTGTTGTGTTCTTATGAGGCGTATTGGCAACTGTCATCTTGCTTATGTTTATAGAGAAATGAATGTTGTAGCTGATTGTATGGCTAACTGGAGCTTTAACTTGGATTTTGGGGTTAGCGATTTGGATGAGGCCCTTGCTTCGGTTAGCTCTTTTTTGGAGGATGATTTTTTAGGAGTTGTTAGGCCTCGTTTAATCTATACTAGTTAGTTGTTGTTTCTTTTTGGGGTTTGTCCCCCCTATCTCATCACACACACACACACACACACACACACACACACACACACACAAAACCCAAAATATGGTTCTAATCAGCCCATTTATACTTATGAGGCATTGAAAGAAAACATGGAGCTTCCAAATAAACAATGTCAAGACAACATGGTGTTTGATTAAACAAATCAACGAGGACTTTGAGCGTCTTAAAAAGAAGGATGCAACCCATATCCTATCATTTAGGCTATCTTATGAGGTGTCGCTTGCTCCAGAAGGCAACAGTGGTCAGAATGACCACTTTTTAATTAGCTCAACCAAAACAACTTAGTGGCCTGAATTTTCCCGTTATTGATCGAAAACAAATAAAATATGGCTGCAAAGTAACTTGTAATGTTCAGAACTTGATGCTTAATCGTGGTCAACAGCTAGTCCAAGTGCGGCAATTTTCGGGGGAGCAAATGGTGATAATAATGTCTAGGGGCAATATATCGAATGGTGATCGGAATGATCATGTTTTGCCAATTAGTGGTGTAGGAAATCCAATGAACCATAATCTAGTGACTGAAAATTGATCATGTTTTGCCAATTAGACGTCAATGAATTTACTACTTGTTGTTCATAATGATGTTCAGATTCAGAATATTGGAAATAATCCACCTGCTGCTATTGATAATGGTAAAGGTACGTAGTCGACCAATCCATGGTGCAATGCAGTGGCGATTCCAGGATTCGAAAGCCGACCGGGCAAAATTTATGTAATAAACTCGACGATACGAGTGAATTTCATTAATAAACATAAAAAGATACACCTAGTCAGGGGGGACGTAATGAGTCTTACCCTCAAATGCATCTAGATCTACAAATACAAAAACTAAAATAAAAACAAAAGTTAAATGCAATGCAATGCAATACAAAACAACATTATTTAAATCTAAAATCTAACCTTACGAGGCTTAGAACTCTTAAAGTCCTCAATTATGGATGCATTGTCAATAGCATTAGCAAACTCTCTTTCAATGTGGAGGATCATACGATCACCAAGAAATTCATCACTTATGGTGCTTCGAAGTCGATTCTTAATAATTCTCATACATGAGAAAGCTCGTTCCGTTGTTGCTGTAGAAACAGGAAGAGTCAACACCAACCTATCAATCAAATAGTAGTTTTCCCCCAAAGTTGTTTCCATCAATTGTTGACATAACTGAGGAAGAGTAGTGATTTCCTTAAAGCATGGAAGACGTTTTATATCATTCTGAAAATACTTGAGCTCTACTTCTAAAGCTTTCAACTCATGAGGAAGGAAATCAGCAGGATAGAATTTCTGAGCAAGTTTACATATATGCTCAATATTAAATGACATGAAAGAATTACGCGGATCCAATGCTAAGCTAAGAGTAAGAAGTTCAACTGTTTGCTCAGGAAATCTATCATTTAACTCCCTCATCATGCAATCTATAACATTATTAAATACATCAATGCGATAAGCATGCTCAATTGTAATAAAATCTTTTTGTTGGCAAGAACGACGTGTGCCCGTCATATAACGACCACCCATATCAGGAACATCAACACAATGTAGTTCACAAAATGATACCACACTCATGAAAAAATCATCCCAACCATTTTCCCTCATATCTTCAAGTTGCATTTTTGTGTTCTCAACAAAATTTAAAGCACTTACAATGCCTTGAGTTTTCGTCTGAAATGCTTGACAAAGAAAATTGGTCAATCCCATAATTTTCTCCATCAAAACCAATGAAAACACAAACTCAAAAGACGACGTAATCCTGGATCACATTCAAGATAATTGATATTAAAATCTTGATCATCATTAACTCTTTGACTCTCAACTCTTTCAACTTGAGGCTCAACAATGGGAGACTTGGGAAGATTTTGCTCATCACAAATTAGAGGAGTAGATAAAGAAGTACTAGGCATCGTATTAGATAATGACCCACCATTATTCTTTTTCTTAAAAAAGACAACAAGTTCTTTATTTTCTTGGGGTTCCGATTGTGATCCGACATAATAAAAGATAACCTATAAATAATATGTACAAATTATTTTAGTCAAACATGTCAACAACAACAAAACTAATTATCATAATATAATCAATGCATTTAATCAAACATACCAACAAAACACACAAATCAAATATCTCAACAATACCAACAACAAATTAAACATCATAACAATACCAACAACAAATTAAATATCTCAACAAAATTCCTAAAATCAAAGCCCTAATTAATTTCAACAAAATCTCCCAATTAGAATTCATTCCTAATTAAACCCTAGAATATTTTCTATTCAAATTAAAGAGCATAAGATAATTAAAATGAGAGAATGAGAGAATAATACTTGTTGCCAAGAAGAGAAGTTGCTCCTGCAAAGAAGTTGAGAGTTGAGTTGATGGTGGCTGAAGGTTGAGCTTGAGACGGAGAGGGAAGTGCTGATATTTTTCACAGAGAGTGAAGTTTCTGTTTGGTGGCTGACTGCACGCGGGTTCACTTCAGATTTTAATTTTGGCTGTTGCACTTGCAGTGCATATATTCTTTGTTTAAGTGGGCTTGTTTAAGTGAGTGGGCTACTTGCCTTTAAATTATTGGCTGGGCAAGTTACTTATTGGCTAGGCAAGTTACTTAGTATTTTTTTTTTTGGTCAAAATTTTGGGCCAGGCATGAGCCCAGCCAGCCCATGGCTGGAACCGCCACTGCAATGCCTGCTCCAGCAACAAGAAATGTGTCTGAAGCAGCATGAAGAAACTTAAAACCTTATGATCATAAAGGAATTCAGCCTGAAAAGACACGTATGTTTTTGTAGCTGAGATGACCAATTTAAAAAGTCTAGTGGTTTTCAAAAGCGTAATTATTCAGTGCCTACTGGAGACTTCGTATCCGATCGTATTGACAAAATCAGATTGAGTTGGAGAGATGACCAACATAATGTGTTCTTGGTGGTTGCTTATTTCTTGACTGATTTGGTTATTCCTTGGGTTCATTCTAATCGTTTTGGTTCGATCTTTGGACTGTGGATTTAATGTTTGATGCCTTTAAATTCTTTAACGATAACTAAAGAGATCGAATAGTCGTTCCCGATAGTATACAAAAAGATCATATGCTTCTCTGCTTTTACCTGGCCGCCGGGGTGGTATCCTTCCACCCATTAGCATAATGCATCTGGATTTCAAGCTGAAATCCATAGTTTTTTTTTTTTCTTCTTTTTGGTTCAATTGTTGAATAGGATAATTTATGGACAATCACAGGGTGCTGGTTACTCGCTACCACCAAAAAAAAACATGCTTATGTTATTTACGACAAGTATTTGAGACAAATGATGCCCCTCACACGGACAAAAATCAAGATGACTCTCTTTCCATTCCAATACCTATAGGAGAAGCCCAAAAGCCACATGATGAACAATCCAGATTTGAGGGCCATTTCATTTGGATTGGACGGCCAGCTTTAAAATCATTTTTTCAACGTTTGTTTTCATCTAATGAGAATAACCAATAATTATTTATTTTATTTTTTTGGAATGAGACAAATAATGGTGACATGACCGACCAACTAACCACCATTAATCTCTGGTTTTTTTTTTTTTTTTTTTTTTTTGGGACAAGTAGACACGGTTTCTCGCATCTAGTCGACTTGGAGTCTTTTGGGTAGAACAAGGGCGATACCAAAAGCTCATCTTGCACTTCTTACTTCATAGATCTTGTGTTTCTCTGTTTCCAGTGTCAAACAAACATGGTGGAGGCACTCATTTCCGTGCTCCTAGAACGATTGGCTTCTGTAACTTATCACCACATAGAAGATGAGGTGAGATTCGTTTTGGATGCCAAGAAAGAAGTTGAAGAATTCGCTGCCCATCTCGAAGATATTCGAGCCGTGCTTGAGGATGCAGAGCAAAGGCAAGTGAAGGAGGCCAGTGTGAGAAACTGGTTGGATAAGCTGGAAGATATAGCCTACAAGATGGACGATGTGTTGGATGAGTGGAACACTGAGATTCTCAAACAAGAAGTTGTAAAAAAAGAAGCAAATGGTGAAAATGCTCGTGTTGCTAATAAGAAGATGGTATGTTTCTCTATTCTCTCATATTGCTTTTGTTTCGGCCAAGTAAGTCGTGTAATTCGTCACCGTGACATTGCTGTTAAGATAAAAAATCTGAATGAAAGCTTGGTTGTGATTGCCAAGCAAAGACAAACATATAACTTTCAATACTTGGAAAGAAGCACTGAACTGCCAGAACGAGAAAAAACTTCATCTTTTGTTGATACATCTGCTGTATTTGGTAGAGAAAAACAAAAGGGTATTTTGGTTAGCAAGTTTTTTAGCCAGAGTAGTGAAGAAGGAAACGGCCTCCTTGTCATCCCCATTGTGCGGATGGGAGGAATGGGAAAGACAACTCTAGCTCAACTGGCCTATAATGATGAAAATGTTAAATCCTATTTTGAGAAGAGAATATGGGTTTGTGTCTCGGAACCTTTTGATGAGATTAGAATTGCCAAAGCATCATTAATGGTGCCAAAGGCACCACCCCTGAATCAGATGAGTTAGAAGATTTCTTGCAATGTATGTCTGAATCCATTGCGGCAAAAAAGTTGCTCTTAGTCCTAGATGATGTGTGGACACAAGACCAAAGAAAGTGGGAGAAATTAGAGACACCATTAATTCAAAGTTGTGCCAAAGGCAGTAGAATATTGGTGACCACACGAAAGCAGGAGATTGCTATTATGATGGGAGCTACCACTCATATGATTCATATGGAGGTGTTGAGTGAACAGGATTGTTTGTCAATATTCAAACACACTGCATTTTCTGGTGGGGAAAAATTTGGGTCTAATGAGCTTGAATCTATTGGTAAAGAAATTGCAAAAAAATGTAAGGGATTGCCTCTTGCGGCAAAGACTATGGGTAGTCTGATGCGCTATAAGGAAACCAGGAGGGAATGGCAAGATGTTTTGGATAGTAAGATATGGGATCTACAAGAGGTTGAGCAACAGGTTTTCCAACCACTATTACTTAGTTATTATGACTTGGCACCTGCGATCAGACGTTGTCTTTTATATTGTGCTATTTTTCCAAAAGATTATGAATTCAACAAGGACCGTTTGGTTGAGCTGTGGATGTCACAAGATTTTCTGAATTTGAAAGGAAACAAAGAAAAGAAAGTAATAGGTGAAAGATTTTTTGGTAACTTGGTAATGCGATCTTTCTTCCAAGATCTAGTAAAAGATGAGGATGGCAATATTATAGGGTGCAAAATGCATGATATCGTGCATGACTTTGTTCAGTTTCTCACCAAGAATGATTGTGTTTGTATGGAGGCTATCGGTACTAACATTGAGACAGAGCTCTTGCGTGCTAATTACACAATAGGGCTAGGGGGCAACAAGATTCGCCATTTAACCTTAATGTTTGCACCGAGGGGCCCATTTCCGTTATCTATTTCATCTTGCAATTTCAAAAATCTGCGTAGCCTTACAGCTTTGGATTCAAAAATCACTACCATACACTCAAATTTACTTTTAGAATTGAGATGTCTTAGGACATTAAATTTGAGTCATAATCTTATCGAAGAAGTGCCAGAAGAGATTGTTGAGTTGGTACATTTGAGGTATATTGATTTCTCTTTCAATCCTTTTCTGAGGAAGTTACCGAACGCAGTGTGTGATTTATACAATTTGCAAACCTTGCGCTTTGTTGGGTGCTATGGACTTCAAAATCTACCGCAAAGCATGGGGAAGTTGATTAACTTAAGCCATCTTTATGTTTCCGGTTGTGATAAGCTTAAGTACTTGCCAAAAGGGATTATGGGATTACAAAGTCTGAGAACACTAGATGAGTTTCGTGTTTGTGGTAGTGACAATGATGAAGCATTGAAACTAGGAGACCTGGGAACCTTGGACCAGCTTCAAGGTGTTCTAAGGATAAGAATTCCGGGGAATGGCGAAGATGGTGAGGCTGAGAAAGCACAATTGTGGAACAAAAAGCAACTTTCTCACTTGAAACTAATTTTTGAGAATTTTCAAAACGAGGAGAGAAAAAGCAGCAGTGTAGAAATAGTACTGAATGTCTTGCGACCGCAACAAGATTTGGAATATTTAGATATACGTTGCTATCATGGCATAAGTGGTCCCAATTGGATGATGTCTTTACACAATTTGAGAATCCTTATTCTTCATGGATGGAATGAAAGTCAATTTTTGCCTCCTCTTGGTAAATTGCCGTCCCTTGAAAGATTGATGATATCGGATATGGGAAAGGTGAAAAAGATTGGAGATGAGTTTTTGGGAATAGAAAACCAAACATCAATAAAATCATCCTCATCAGCATGTATTTTATTCCCAAAATTGAAACAACTCAGACTTGTAAGCATGTCGGGTCTGCAAGAGTGGGAAGGAGTGGGAGGGGTGAAGGAAGAGGATTCTGATAAGATTACAATAATGCCATGCCTTTCTTCCTTAAATATTACGCTTTGCAGTGGCCTAAAAACACTGCCAGGCTTCCTGCTAAAATCACCACTGCAGAATCTTTTCTTCCGTCATTGTCGGAGTCTTGCACGAAGTTACCGACAAGGCACAGGAAAGGAGTGGCACAAGATTTCTCACATCCCAAACATCACAATTGACGAAACTGATCCTGATTTTGATGATGAGGAGGGTCATGAGATTGTATAAGAAAAGGATGTTCTGTAGTTGAAATCACTCACAGCGGTGTTAACCGGAACAAGAGTGTGAGCTGTCAAAAGGTATATTTTTTCTATACATTTCCTACTTAACTTACTTCCTTCTGGTTCCTAGTTCATAGGCCCATTCCAGATACAAATTCCGTTTTTTCTGTTGCTTAAAACAGGTTTCGAACCTTCAATCATGACCGAGTATCAATAATGAAAGAATGCAGAAAGGGGTAATCTCAAAATGGATGTGAGTATTTCCAGTTTCTACGAGAATAGCTTTATGCAATATGTTCTTGTTTCTTCTGTGATTATTTCTTTCAAACATTTAGAAGAGAAAAAGGATTGAAATCACCTTTTCCTTTTGGCTTCTATAAACATTCATATACTTTGTTTCCCTAAGAGGCTGAAAACCAATTGACTCTAGGCCCATCTTATGTTGCTATGGCCTTATGAAATTTTTCTTTCATTGCAGGGTGTAAACAAAGGGCACTTACTTGTTCTTTCATCTGGCCTGGTTCAATTCTGGCTTCCGATCCAAATTTGGCAGACCTGGGATGGTGTTCTTGAATTCCTGACAAACTCATGGTAATATGGCATGAAAATATAGCAAAATATTTCATTTTTGTTAGCGTGCTAAACTGTCCCACGTGCAAAATAATGTTTGAGAGTTTATTGGTTATGGAAGCATATGCCATGGTCGTAATATGTTTGGTTTTGAATGATGGTTAGAGAAAGCAATGGACGCAGAGGTAAATACTGGAGATCCAAACTCTGCCTCATTTCTTGCATGGCATGATGGCACTCAGAAGACTTTTGAAACTGGTGCATAATTAA